CATCTGTTTAGAGGCTCATGAGATATTTTGCTAACTCAAAGAAACAAACACTGGCWGAAACATTTAATTGCCCTGCCTTCGCCTTTGACAGTGGGCAATAAAAATGTGTCCAAAGGGGAGGATTAGTAAATAGGTGTTGTTAACTTAGGAGTAAGGAGGAAATTAAAAAGTAGGCGGGGGGGGGGCTGTGAACAAATAAGGATGCTGCATTTTATGCGCCACTTAGGAGGTGGCACATGGTGTGGTTGTTGAGGGTAGGAAATTAGATTTTCACAAGAGCTGACAGCTGGCTAACGGTGTGTGTGTGTGTGTGTGTGTGTGTGTGTGTGTGTGTGTGTGTGTGTGTGTGTGTGTGTGTGATGTGCCTCGGTGTGTCATACTAAGCTGAGATGTACTGTGATTCATTATCACTGTTACAAAACACAGATAGACAGACCATACATTACTTTATTACTCATGTCTGGAGACACATATTATTAGATCTTACCTAGACTCGGTGAATGAAGGTGTGTGTTTGTGTGTGTGCTTGCAGAGACCTGTTTTTGTATCTTTCTGTCATATCACATCCTCACCTTTTGTGCCTAAACCGATAAGATTCTGTTTACATAAGAATGGATGTAAAACGCTGAGTCCAGCTGTGTAGACTAAACATTTTTTTATAATGTTCGTGTCTCTCTCCCTCTGTGTGTGTGTGTGTGTGTGTGTGTGTGTGTGTGTGTGTGTGTTTGCTTGACCTCACCACTGCAGTCAGGCCTCCCCTCATGCCGAGGCTTTACAGGAACAAAAATCTGCCCTGAAGGCACGCTTTAAAGCGAAGTGAAGACTGATATGACCTTTTGTATTTAAACCGTCTCGTTATATTAATGTCTTAACTCATCTTTTGGCGTCGAATGTGAAACGGAGGTTGTGAGTGAGGAAGAAAGGAGGATAAATATGGGAAAAAGTAAAGTCAGAAAAGCAGTTCTTACATTTTTCCATTGGGTCTTTTTCCATTCGACTCCTTGGTTCTCCCCCTCCTCCTCTTGCCTCAGTGGTTTTGTCTCTGACTTCACATCCAAGGAATCTGATGTAACTGTTACAGAGCCATAAAAAAGGTGCCTTTTCAGCTCTTTACGTGTACATTAACATTATGGAGGTTTTACAGGCTTACCTGAACTCTTTGACTGAGAAGGCTGTGTAAACAAAGTTGTACAAATATCTGCAAAAAACACAAAAACACTTCCTCTGCTTTTCTGTCTTCATTTAAATCAATGATTTAAATGAAATCAATAGTCTGTTTGACTAGTTTGAATTGTTTTCTCCTGTACAACCACCATTTTTTTTGTATTCTAGTCCTTTTTGTTGCTTTCTATTGCCGTCTGAAGTATTTGGACAGCTGTGGTCTGGCTGTGTGTATTCCAGAGGTTGTGACCCTGACATCTTGTTTAATACCTGGCTCTCGCAGCCTAATTGATGGCCAGAGCAAACACTGTGGGCTGGGATGACTTGCTGCAAAAGGAACCTGGCTGTGAATAAATTTCCTAATCTCATTTTAATTTAAGGTTGCACTTCATGTCATGTTATAATTTTAATAAAAATAAAATTTACCTACAGTGTTTTTTTTGTTTGTTTAATTCCACTGACTGAAAATAGTCATTGTTTCTGCAGATCCTTAAAAAGTCTTAAAAGTCATTGAATTCACCAATCCAAAAATAAGGCCTTAATTAGCCTTAAAATGTCTTAAATCAATCTTTCAGAGGTCTTAAAAATGTTAACACTTTGTAAATAGGATCATTGTAATTCATCTCAAATCTTAAAAAAAAAATGGTAAAAATATATATTTTTA